GGGGGCGGCTGGTCGGGTTGGGTGGCCCCTTTTTCCGGCGTGCAGCCTGGCGAAAAGTCCTGCGGCCTGGCAAGGGGCCGCAAGTGTGTCTATCTGTCTGTGTTTCTGTCTGTATTTCTGTCGGTGTCTGTGTCTGTGTCCCCGGCACTCGCGCGCAGGCGGGAACTCAGGCGTGCGAGCGCCCGTGTACGGGCGTGGGCCGGCCCGCCCCCAGGAGAACGCCCGGGCCCGGGTCAGATGCCCACCCCGGCCATGAGGCCAACAGGGCACCCCCACCCCGACGGGGCCCAGGCTCTGGGTGTCTGAGCCACCCTGGCCGTCCGGCGCACCCGGCGTCGCTCACGCCCTCGGGCCTTCCGGGGACCCGACCCATCTAGCGTGGAGAGGGGGGCGGGGGTCATAGCGGCCGAGACTTCCAAGCATGGCTCGCAATACACGCCAGGAATGGCCGCCGGGGAGGGGGCCCTCGGCCGGACCGCGCGAGAACGCGCGTGGGAGAGGGGGCCAGGCAGACGCATTCCGCCGTTGTCCGTTCTCGCGCCATGCCTCCGGGCTCGGCGGCCATGCGCCGGTCGAAAAGAGAGCAGCCTCACTCGACGGCCCTTGGTATAAATAAAATAATAACACCCGCCGGCCTCGAGCGCATGCAGCCGCCGCCGGTCACCGGAGGGAGGCCACCGATGGCCCCGACACTTTCCGGGGCACGCCCTGGCCTGCGGGACCGCCCCGGGTGGCTGGCCGCGGCCAGCCACCCGGGGCCCCTATGAAACACACCCCCTCCCCTGCGCGGCCGGGCCGGCGAGGCTCCGACGTGTCCCATGTGCGCCGATGACAACCGGCGTCGAGGGGCGGCCGAGAATACAAGTGGACCCCGGGCACTGGAAGAGATTACTCGGGAGAACCGAGTCGAAGTTCTTCCGAATGTGCCCGGCCACATGGAGGCCGGGCGGTCGTACGATGCACACCGCGAGCCGATCATCCGTCCAGATGGTGTCACGCATAAAATGACATAGATCACGCGATCCAGATGGGGGCTCCTGGGACCGTCGTGCCTTCCGCTCCCCTCGCGGGAGGACGCGCCTGTCTGGTGCGGCTCCTTCGCTAACGCCCCGAGGGGGATCAGTCTGCTTATCAGGCTTGATCGTCGGCCCGATTGCCATCCAATGGTTGACTTTGGAGCAGTGAGCATTGGTCTGGGCATCCGGCTCCGGTCCGGGTCGACGAAGGGGTGGCCGGGCTTCAGCAATGCCTATGCCGCTGGGGGGGGGGGGGGTACTCTGCCGCGGCGATTCGCCAGTGTGGGGAGGGGGGGACCTCCGCATGTTGCTTTCCGGCCTCGGCCGGAGCCTGGCAGGCAGCATGCCGCACCCCGGTCCTCCTTACTCGGGGGGTCACATTGCACTTGTGGATGGTCGTCACTTTGGGATGGCTGCCGATTGCAGGTGGCCCCGACAAGGCCCTCCCTTCCCAGGGACACATCCGCTGCAGGGCCCTCCCCTTCATCAAGCAAGCGAGTGCGTGTGCTGGCGCGGTGGTCGATTGATCCTTACCCACCTGGGTGCGAAACTACCACTATCGGCCACCTCGGTGGGATACCCATCGAGCCGTGCCGTGGTCCAGCCCGGCGGGCCTCCCCGACCGCGCGCGCGCGCGCGCGCCTCCTTCGGCCTGTCTGACGAGCGAGTAGTGCCGGACTGGAGCCGGGCGAAAAGGCGGAGGGTGCCAAGGAGCCAGAGAGACCTTGACTCGGCCGAAAAAAAGGGGCCGAGTGGCAATGCGGGGGAGAGAAAATGCCGGCAAGATGGCCACGGCACAAGATGCTGGCTGTGCAACCGCCTGGCATCTCCTTTCGGCGCGGGTCATGCGAAGGGGACATCCCTCGGCCGATCCTCCAGCCGAATGTCAGGGCCAGCGGCCCGGCTGAGATGGCTAACAAGAAAGTCCTTTGTCTCACCTGATCCAACTACCTCCACATGATTCCGATCATAACCCCGAGTTAAGCACTAACTCGAGCCCTCTTTCTCAGGTAACCCCTATCCTGTGGGGGAGGCCCCGGTCGAGCCGAGCCACTCTTGGCCCCCTACCCCCCGAGGGGGCCCGGTCGGGCCGGGCCCGTGCTGCTGAGAGGCTCACAGGCGGCCAGATCGCCACCCGGAAGCGTACTCATGAAACCCGTCACCATTCGTGGCGCCTTTCCCCCGCTGTCAGAGTGCCGATCGATGGCCAATCTTTGTACGCAGGGGGGGGGGGACCCTGGGGCCGGGATGTTTACCTGGCTGACACTCCACACGCGGCCCCCTTCGCCCCATAATCAGTCGGAAGAAGTGGCTGACGATCCTCGATGGGGCAACCATCCCGGGGGTGTGAGCCCCGCCTCCCAGGCAGAAGTCGACCCCACCCCCTGCCCCTCGGGTGCCCTTCCTGGCGACACATGGCTCCCAGCACTGATCTCTTGATGGAGCGTCACCCGGGAGCAGCCTCGGCAGGACTCTTTCGAGCAGAAGCAAGCAAGGGCCACCCTGTGTACGGAGGCATCGACCGAACGCGCGGAGTCCAGCGCCGACCGACCGCGCGACAGCATGCATGGCTGCTGGCGGATGGTTGTTTGATTTCTTGTCATATGGAACCGGGGTGTCCTGGCTGGTCGTCAGCTGGGAGAAGCCTTCGCCCGCCCCACTGTGCCGAGTGTTGGGTGAGGGGAGGTCCCTTCGAACGGAGTATTTCCGCCCACACTGCCCAACATAAAAGGCGGCCGCGCCGTGGCGGAGGGAAATCCCGCCTGAGATGCATAGAAATCCTCCTCATTTCCGGAATCCCCTTTGGTGAAAGTACGTCGGTCCTTTTGCCCGGCCTGGCCCCGGGTCCCCCCGGAATTGAGGATCGTTCGAATGGGCGCCTTCAAGCGCACGGGGAGGCTTCTTGCCTACATCCCCGCGCACCCACGACCTTCCCCCCCCCCCGTCCAAGGTGTAATTTGGGCCGATCTCCGCCGGGGACCGGCTCGTGCCCATGTCTCCGGGGGCCATTGGCAGGCAAGACGCGACATGCGATCGCGTGTTGTGGACCCCCGGTTTGGATGAATGCGTCGCTCGCTGTCCTTGAGTGTCGCCCTTGGGCGATGCCTATGTGTCATTCTCTCCTTAGCTGACATGCCTCGCGCTCACCTCGGCCTAGGTGACTTTCCGCCATGGGAATCATCTCGGCTGCGCGACGCGCCTCGCTTGGTCTTTTCGTGCCGGGCCGAGGCTTCCTTCGCGCCTTCGGCTCGGCGGCACAGCAATCCGGCGCCATGAAAAAGGGGGCCCTCCACTCTGCGCATGACACCCCGAGGCAGCCCCAGCCCCACCGCCGGGAGCGCTCGGATGACCCGATCCAGCGTCCGGGCTACCAAGGGCCGATGGGCGCCGCAGCGGAGACCCAGTCCCGGTCACATGGCAGCCAACCCGGGGGAGCCCCAATCGGGGTCTCGCGCCATTCTGGCTCGCAGTCGGCCCAAAGCGATCCAAAGCCGAGCGGCACGCACGGGGAGCATGGTCTTCGGGATGAACAGGATCGACTGCCGGCTGGCCCTGCGGGGCGCGTCAGCGAATCGACATAGAACACCCCCAAGCCGGGGGCGTCGCAATGCCGATGGCCGAAGGAGCTTCCTCCGTCAGTGAGAGAGAGAGAGCCAGGGATCTGCTCCTGGGGTCTGTCCCGGCATTCGGGGGCGCCGCCGGAAATCAACAGGTTCCTCCATTCGTGGAGGAGAGTCTTGGTCGCCATCAAGAGTTGACGTTGCCGAATGTGAGCCGGGCGTGCAGGTATCTTGGAGGATGAAAAGGATGGGCATTCGCACGCTTTCGGTGGATGGCGCTCATCGGAGGGAGGTAGCTGTGCACCCATCGCCGCTGGGCCATATCGACATCCGGCCCGCACGCTCCTTCCACAGGGGGGATCAGCCAATCCTGGAACCGGGCGAAGCATGCGCGACGCACGGCGATCTGATGTTGACGTGTCATTGCGGGCTTCTTCAGGCCCGATGAGGGGATGCGTGAGCGCTTTAGGACGATGGCTGGCGGCACACACCCTTGAGCGTTCTTTCTTGCTCCCTTTTCGGCATTGTGGCCTGCCTGTTGTAGGCCAATCTCGCGGGACCGTCGCCACATTTGCCATCCTCCCCTTCAGGAATATGACCCAGCAACGTTCGATCCTCCCATCGCGAGCGAGATGCATGTGCTCGAGTGTCTGTCTAAAGGGGGCCGTCGTTCGAGCGGGGGGGTGCTTTCGTTGAAACGCCAGTGGCATGGCCTGCAAGTGGGCTATCTGAAGGCTGCAGGGCTTGCAGGCAAATGGGAGGGCAGGCGAGGGGAGGAAATGATCGGCGTCAAGGCAGCCACATACGGCCGTGCCAAGAGTGGACCCCTCCTGAGCGTCGAAAAAAAAGAAGCGAAAGGGCAAGGGCCATGGGTCGGAGGATACACAAGCTCGCGTCTGTGACAGTCGGCAAGTCCACACGTTGGAGGAGACACACGCGGGAGGAGGAGCGGGCTCGGGCTTGGCGGGAGGCGCGACCCAGGAAGGAATATGGACTGTTGGAAAGGACGGAGGCCCCGTGCGGCGTCGAGCCCCGTAGGATGCGAGGCGGATGTCCGGGACTGGTGGGGTAATGCATGCCACGGTTTGCGCGTATGCCTGAACGAGGGCACCCGGCTGCACCCTAGACTGGCACCACGACATGACATAAAGGTGAAGCGGCTGGCCGGGCCCAGAGCGAACGAGTCTTCATGAAATGGGCCAAAGCCTCGCGCTTCGGCGAAAGCGCACGTCGGCGACCCACAGTGACAGCCAGAAGTCGGAGAACCTGGGGGGTGTTAGAGGGACCAGGATGGGGCTGTACCTGTGACTCCACGGCATGCACTCATAAATGGCGAGATCCGTGCCTCGAGAAAAGAGGGGCCATTGGGCTGCAAGTTGCCGACGTCATGGCAGCAAGCGCTTGCCTTTGGGTGCCGAGGTCTTGTTCGGAAGGGAAAGTCGGATCTCTGGGCGACCGAGGAGGCCCCCCCTGGCGGTCGAGGGGAGAGTCCGAGCTCGGGGGCTTTTTTCAGCGGATTCCTTTTGTTGTTGACCCAAGTGATCACACACACACACACACACAGGGCCACACGAAAACCCGGGCTGGATGATATATGCGGAGACGCCGAAATCGAGATGCTCGTCGCTCGTTTGCCAGACCCGATTGCGGGCCCATCTTTTCGGGGGCAATGGCTCTCGGAGGAGGGGGGGGAGGTGAAGCCGTCCCTGCCAGCACAGCACTGGCTCCACTTTCTGGGCAAGGGCCAATCCATAGCATGGGGGCCGGCGCACATAACCCCGCTCGAGGTGTTCCGGTGTCCAGAGGAAGGGCCCCGCCAGGCCGAAGGCCCCGCGCGTGGTGGGGTATCTCGGCCATGCCTGCCAGCATGTCGAGTCGACTTGTCGTCACGGCAAAGCGCATGGCCACCGGAAGGGGGTGAAGCTGCTCGAGACAAGTCGGTCTCCTGTGTTCAGCCGCGCCAAGTGCGGCGTCGAAACCGGAGTGCCGGACATCCACCGTTGGAAGGGTGACGCTCTCGGTGCGATGTTTCCACCGATCACGGCAAGGGCACACACCAGGGCTTCAGGAGGGAGACAAGCGGGGAACACCTTCCCCCCTCGCACGTCGGCGGTGTGGAAATGGGCGTGCGCCTTTCGGGTCGCGCGCGCGACCGACGAGCCAGTCGCACTCGCTGGATGGATGAATATACCAGCTCGAGCTCAAGCGCGAGAATGGCCCGGCCCTCCGGGGCAGCCTCTCCCCGCGATCATCGCCGCGCCCAGACACCGTCCCGGGCGCTCCAAGACATGCACAGCGAAGGTGACTCCTTGCCAAGAAGCCCCACGCCATGGCTCATGGCAAGTGCCAGCGGATTGGCCTGCCGGGGGTCTTGCTGGCTGGTCACTCTGCGGTCGCCGTCGGGGAGATGCCCCCCCCCGTCGGCGTTTTCCTGGAGAGCCGCTCGCGGGTCGAACACGCTTCGGCAGATGTTCATGGCCTGTGACCCCGAGCTTTTGTTGTTGCTGTTGCTGTTGACCTTCCGCCGGGGCCGGGGCGGTCGCCGGCCGGGAGCTTGCGAGTGGGGCCGGAGACTTCGGCCAGGCGGGCCGCCGGGGCCTGGACTCCTACTCGAGGACAAGAACCAGACTCTTGAGAATGGCATTTCCTGGAAGCAGGCATCTCCAAGGGGTCGGTCTGCTGTGCCAGGGGCGTTGTGGCGGGGCTCCCTTGAGAGAATGTCGCCCCCTTCGAGGGTGAACATTCTTAGGGAGATCGGGCTTGGGGCGATCAGCATCTGGTCTGCCTGGTGGAGTTGCGTCTGACGAAGGGTCCCACAAGAAGGGGCTAAAAAGATGCTCGCCATCGCGCCCAGGGGCAGGGGAGAACCTTGGCGCCGATGCCCAAACGCACGGGTAGCCTCTCGATCTGGGCGGTGGCCTTGCCCGGGGACGGATGCGAGTGCGGGGGGGGGGGGGGGGGTGGACGTCCTCTGCGGGCTGGGCACCCCTCTCCGCGGGCTGGGCACCCCCAGGCGAAGAACGAATGGGCCTGCGAGCCCCGGGCAAGGCGGGGAGGACAAGCGCAGGGAGAGGGGGAAATGTGGAAATGGCCCGGAGGACGGGCGGCGAGAAGAGCGAATGAAGGGCCACCGGGCCGGGAGGGGGGGGGGGCGTGTTGCGTCCGGCACAATGGTCCAAGTACCTTTCTTCCACGTTCTCCCTTCTCCCATTATTTTCTCTTGCTCCTTTTCTCCCTCGCACCTTGCTGGCTTTCGCAACATGATAGGCCGCTCGATGGCGCCGGTCCACCGGACCTTGATCTTGGCCGTGCTCTTGACTGTGGCCCTGGCCGGGGCACTGCGTGTGACGCGTGCATCGGACGGATCGTCCGCCTGCAAGCCCGGCGAGTATGTGCCCCCCGGGGGGGAGGCCCCATGCGCCACCTGCGACACAAGCTGCTGGACCTGCTTCGACGGCGCGGACTTGTGCACATCTTGCCCTCTGGGCGCCGCGGTGGACCGGGCCTGGCTGCGCCCCGACACCGGGGAGTGCATGGCCACCTGTCCCAGAGAGGGGTTTGTGCCGGTGGAGCACACGGCGGGATCGGGCCGCGCGTGCCTGGCCTGTCCGGAGGGGTGTACCTCCTGCTCGGTGCCGGAGGATGCCCCCCCGTGTGGCCTTGACCCGGCCGGCGTGCTCACCTGCCCCAAGGTGACCTGCCACCAGTGCGCGGATGGCCTGCTGCTGCTTGATGGGTCCTCGTGTGTGACATCCTGCCCGGCGACCAGGTACTACACGGACCATGAGGCGCGGTTTTCCCCGGTGCCGGCGTGCCTCCGGTGTGCTCCCATGTGTGACGCGTGCTCCGGGCTCGGGTCTGAGAAGTGCACCGCCGGCCTGCAGGCCGTCATCAATGCCAGCGTCGGTACGAGAACAGCGCGGCATGCCTGCGGGACATCGACATGTTGGCTTTGGCTGGCCCCTCCCCCCCCCCCTTCACACCCCACTGTCATCGGCGTCCTGACCCTCTCCCTCCCCCCCCTTGGCCCGCCTTGTGTTCTCCTCCTCGAATGCCCGCCCTGCCGGCCGACAGTGGTCATTATGAGCATCCTTCTCGCGGTCATGGGGACCTTCTTCGTTGGATCCGTGGTGGCCATGATCATCATGCGGCATCTGAATCAGCAGCGCCGGAAGCGGAAAGCCCCCCCGGCTGCGGAGGCACCCTCCTCGGGAAAGGTTGACTCCGACCGGTCCCGGCGCATGGCACCTCGCAAGGGGCCTTCGGATGAGGCGATCCCCATGGACATGCTGCTGCCTCGATGAGCTGCATCCGAATAACCTGCCTGCATGTTTCTTGCCCATTGGTGACCGGCATTGGCCTCCCTTCGCCGGGCCTGCCTCGGCTGCCGGTCGACGGGCCCGGGGGGGGGAGGGGGGGGGGGTCGCCGCGCGACTTACCTTCAGAGGATATCCCGTCAGAAGGGGCCGGGGTGGATGGGGCTACACCGAGCGAGGCGGCCAAAGGGCAGGGGCCCCAGGCGGGAAGACGAGGAGAGGGAGCCCTGCCGGGGGGAAAGTGTCTAGCGGAGTGGCTCTGCGGGGTGGCGTCCGGTGGCCCAGCACGTTCAATGGCCCTTGGCCGGGCCTTTCCGGGTCAGTACATTCCGCCTGGCAGTCGGGCCCGCCGCTCCGAACGAAGAGGGCAGTCGTCGGCGCCCATCCAGGCAGATGGGGACCCCGCGAAGGGAGACCGGGTTTGTTTTTTATTTTATTTTCAGCCCCCCCCCCCTCCTCCCTACAGCCCCATTACTGGGGGGCATTTGAGGAAACTCCCCTGGCAGGGGTGGGGGTCACAAGCGCCGGTCGGTATTTGCCCGTGTGGGAATGAATCCCCCTCCCCCCGGACTGGCATGTCAGCAGGAGTGCATCCCTGGAGCAACCCGCCGCGGGCTTCGTTGATGAGCTTGCACATGCCGCGGACTTGGAGGGGGGGGGGGGAGGGCGGGGACATTGGTTTCCGGCGATACCGGTCTATCGTGCGGAGGATGAAGAATAAGCCTTGGGGCGGCCAAACATCCGGCTACCTCGAGGGGGGGCGGTATTTGTACTTGGCGCCCGGGCCCAGGGATAAGGGGGCCGTAGTCCTGGCCAAACACGATGGATGCATGCACGGACGCATGGCACTCGGCTGACGGTCGGACAGCGGCAAATGGTTTATTTTTTCACACGCCTCGCATGGCAAGCCAGGGGAGGGGACATAAACATGCCCCCCCTGGGGAAGTCGAGCGCGCGGCCAAGGGGAGGGCACCTGCAGACGCACCGGCAGGAGGTGGGCCACCCGGCCCGGGGGCACTAAGCCAAGCCAAGAGCAGGGGTCTTCGGCAAGAGCGGCACCGAAGTCGCATCCCTCGACCCGGGTGCGAGGCCGGCATGCTGATGTCAAACTACCGCCAGGAAAGCCGCCCTTCTGGGCCGTCCGTCAGTCGGGCTTCGGGCTATTGGGGGGGGGGGGGGGGTCGTATGCACGGGGCACATGTTTTTGTCTTCTCAACAGCGGGACATCCGCCCAAAAAAGGGCTAATGATATTCCCACTTTTTGAGGCGCGCACGACGCTTCGCTCGGCCCGGTGCGCTGGCTGTTCGTGAGCCCCGGTCCGTTGGTGTTTCGTCGCGTCCCCTCCTCCGTGCCGAGACCCGCCCCGGTCCCCGAGCCGCGGGACTGTGGGCTAGCCAAGTGCTTGGCTCGGGGCGGGTGGGCTCCCCCCTGTGGGCGTCTCCGCCGATGAGCGGGCAAGCCAACATGCTCTCCCGCACCCCCCCCCCTCTGGATCTCGCCCCGCTCTGTGTCTGTGCCTCGGCGATGTGCTCCGAGTGTTCTTCGCTTGGTGCCCCTTTGTCAGGGGCCATTCGGGTCCATGCGGGGGATCGGTCGATCGGGGGCGGTGGGCTCCGCGACCATGGCCCCTCCCCCTGCCGGGGGGCCGACTCACGGCGGCCGGCCACTCGCCGAGCGCGGCATGGGCGCCCCAACAGCCTGGGGCAGGCGCGCCTGTCGGTGGTTCCCCGCCGGGTCGGCGATGCCCTTGTTGCCGGGCACCGACTGGCAGGCAGGTGGGCGTCTCCGGTGGAGTTTTTTTTTGTCTTGAGCATGGGCGAGTCATCCACCCTGGCGGGTGTGCTGTTTTCCGTGTGGGCTCACCGGACAGCATCGGATTCCAAGCCCACCCGGATATTGGCGGGCCCGGGCTCTTGCCATTGGTGGCGATGCGGACGTGCGTGTCGGCCGGGCCATTCGGCTGCCATTGTCCGAGTGCTCTCTGGCCGAACACGATCGGCTTCTGCTCGTCAGGTGGTGCCTCCACATGACAGCGTCCGCGGTCCCAGGGGCGCCGTGCGACGGGGTCTCGCTGCCGGCCGGTAGTGGCGCACCAGGCCGAGGGGGCTGTTGGCCTGGCATTCGGGCCTCCCAGTTCGACGCTCAGCGTGGGCCCGGCGCCACACGGCCGTGGCCATGGTGGCTTGTTGATCGGATAATGAGTGGGGTGCGCCCAAAAAAAAAAAACATCGGTTGGGCCGCTGGCTGGGCTTGTTCCCGAAGGCCGGAATTTTCGGTGTGCCGCTCGGGCAGAGCCGATCTGGCGTTTGGGCTTCGGAGTGCCGCCTTTGATGACGCGCGACTGGGCGCTGGCCCGCATGGCCACCAACAGAACGGGCCATTTTTACCTCTGCTTGTCTCCCATGCGATGGGGAGCGTGCACCACCCAGCCCGGTGGGCCTGCTGCCGAGGGGCCGGCGCAGCCAGCTTGTCGGCGGTCTCTGAGCTGACCAAGGCCTCGAGGACGGGGCTGGCCTGCTGGAGGGCCGGGCCGGCCCTGGTGGGTCTGTCGTGTCTCCCGCGAGCAGGGCTGGCATAGGACCATCTGCGAGTGGAGCATGTCCGTGCCGGGGGGAAAAAAAACCCTGTCCTTGGGATGAGCCTGGTAGTTGCCCTGCCTTGCGCCATGGGACGACCTGCGCCTGGCATCCAGCCTCGGGCATCCCCCATGCCCACGCCCTTGGGACAGGGCTGGCAGCGGCGTGGGTAGCGAGGTCGGCTGTGGCCGAGAGCCAGGCCACCAGGCACTGGCTGGCGCGATTGTCGGGCGCGAGGGGGGGGGGGGGGGGGGGGGGCAGCGATCCTGGGCGACATCCGTCCTACGGGTAAGAAGCGTTGACGTATGTCTCGCAGAAAGCTGGCAGCCCCCGCTTCGCATGGGGTTCGCATGACCACGGCACCCTATCGGAGGCTGCCGCGCTGGCGGGTCGACGAGCTGCGAGGACTTGAAGTGCCCACTTCCGGCTGGACCGGCAGCCAGGCCCGGACGGATGGTGTTGCTCGCGCTGGGTACCATCCTGGCAGAAGTCATCCATTGGCCTGGCGCGTTCAGGGGAGGGGGGTCCCGGTTTCGGGGGGTCTGTCCGCCTGTGGGGAATCTCGGCCATTGGCTTGGCCCTGCAAGGGGGCGCGATTTTGATCATGCTCGGGGGTGTCGGGACCATGTGTGGACGCCGGGTGGGCGGGCCGCCGACCCATCCGGGGCAGCGACCTCGCAGGAGTGCGGGGCCTGCAGTCGACCGGCCGAAACGGCAGTTCGCAGGTGGGGCGCGGGCGCGAGGCCCACAGCCATGCTGATGGTAAGGTGGCCCCGTGTGAGCACTACTGGTGTCGAATGGTGGGATCCTTCCACCGGGGCCTCTCCAGCGCACACTCCGAGAGCCCACCAATCGGGGCCCTGTCCGCTCGAAGCACCAGCACCCGACGAGAGAGGCCATGTCTGCCGGCCCGAAAACCGGCGAGGGCCAGGGGGATGCCGGGGGGACGGCTGCCGAAAAAAAGGCTTGGCACCCTTGGTCTTCGTCGAGTGTCGGTGGTCCGCGTGCAACAACGCAGCCACAAGGCCGCTGACTGCCCCCCCTCTCTCGTCTGCCGAGACCCCGTCGTGTGCTGGCCCCGCCCCGGGGCGGCAGGAGGGGGGCCTGCGCAATGCGGGCACACAGAACGCCAGCCAAGGCATGTTGATCGCGGGCACGCTACAAAAAGAAGGAAGATAGCCCACTGTGGGGCTCGAACCCACGACCCTGGGATTAAGAGTCCCATGCTCTACCAACTGAGCTAAACAGGCTATACATGATACACGAGAGCGTTATTGTCTTTTATTTCACCCCGTTCCCCTCCATCACTCAAGTCGCCGTGTCTCGTGCTCCCTGGAGCCGGCTGTGTGCTCCGCCCCTCGCCTGACCGGAGCACTGCCGGCCCTTGAGTCCATCGAAAAGACCCGCCTCTGCCTCGCAGCCGCCGCCGAAGGGCATCCTTCAATCCGTCTCCCGGCCGGTCAGGCATTCCTGCGCCCGGACGCAACCCACGGCAAGACCTGACGCCCGGGTCATCTCTTTCCTCGGTGTCCTCTCCCTGCCAAGTGACAAATGCTTGGTCTCGACCGAAGGCTGTCTCCATGGAGGCAGCCCGGGCGCGGCTGTGGTTTCCTTCGGCGGTTGATCTTCCCTTGGGCAGGGGATCTTCTGGATGCCCCGGGTCCTACCTCTCGCCCGGGGAGACGCTTCACATCGGGCTCGGGCCCGCTCTTTCCGCCTGTGCCAGCTCACCCCGTGAGACCGGGGTTGCGTGCCTGTGCCGCCGACGAATCGCGGCGAATGTGGCCCCTTTCCTCGGGCCAGTAGGCCAAAGACCCCTGCGCTGCCTGCCGGGCAAGGATGGGTCGCCCGGGCGATGGTCGGAAGGTCACCCCAGCGAGCCCCTGCGGCCTCGTCTCGCAGCCAAGTGCCCAGGCACGGGACCTCCGATGGGCTGGTGTTTCACGGTCGAATGACATGCGATCACCGCTCGCTGGTGGCCGCGATCCCTCCACGGCGGCGTCCGGCTCCTCTGGTGGACCTCCCCCTCGGCATGGGTCGTTGTTGCTTCGGCATCGGTGTGTGGCGCTTGCCGCGGCGACCGCGGATGCGGATCGCAAGCGAGGCGCGTTCCTCGTGACCTGATCACATGCACACATGGCGGTCGGAGCATGATCGCGTCACGCACTTGGCCACCCACAGCGCTCCAGGCGGTATCGTGTTGGCGCGCGGGATGCGGGGGGGGGGGGTGCGTTCGCCAGGGCGTGTCGTCTGGCACCGGTGGGGTGGGAGGACCGGTTCGCGCCCGGCTGCGGAGCCGCCCAGGAAGGGTCTCTCACTCTGCCTTCCGGGAGCGGGCGTGCCTGGAACGGACACTTGGCCACCGCCTCGCAGCCCGTGGGGCTGGGGGGCGGGGGGGGGGGGGGGGGGGGGGGGCTGAAACATTGGCCGTCTCCGAGCCGCGCACGGTTTGTGATTGTCTTGCTCCGCAGTTGGCAGACATCCCCCGGCCGAGGGCTTCTGGGCCGGGTTCAACGTTGGGGGCAGGGCAGGGTGTTTCAGGGGGTCGCGTGGGAGGCAACCACCGGAAAGCCAGCGTGGGCGACGAAAAAAAAAACACCCTCCTCTGACTACTTTGGTGTGCGCCTGGAGCGGCATCCCTGCGGCGGGGGGGTGTCGTTCTCCGGGGGCCATGAACAGGACCTAGAACCTGCTGTGCGGGGGCCGGCCACTTGCCCTGTCGGCACCAGCGCCCTTGTCGAGAGGCGCACGCGGATCGGCCGGAGGCCTGGTGCTTCTTCCTGCTGGCCCCCCCCCCCCCCCCCCCCGGGGCGAGGAGCCTGTTGCTTGGGGCCTTCCTTGAGCCGCCCTGTGCCCTGCCTTCGGGAAGCATGGTCGGGGTCCCCTTGGCTGGAGGCCCTGGGCAGGCTCCCTCGGTTGAGAGAGTGTGTGTGTGTGTCTCCTTCTTGTCTCGCCCCTCCCCCCGGGGCCCCCGGTGGCTGGCGCGTGGGCGATCTGGGCCGCGTTGCGTCTGGGCGCCCGTTGGCAGTCTAGGATGGTTGCCCCTCGGAAAAATAGCCCCACACCGCTTCGGCACCCGGGTCCCTCTGCTCGATGAGTCTTCCTGCGCGGGGGTCGGCGAAGTCGGCTCCGCCCCGACCGATGTCCGGAAGTTGTGCCTGTTGCTGCCGAGCGCGCAGGACATGTAGGAAGGACGCCGGCTCGCTCGCCCCGGCGGCGGTTTACCCGGGAGCGATGGTTGTCATGGTCGGTGAGTGTCGGCCCTCGGGCAGATGTGTCCCCATTGGTCCCCCCCCCTCCCCCCCTAGACCGAGCACCGAAGCCGGGCGGGTGCACGCCGGTCCAGATGGCTGGCTGCTCGTCGCCCACACTCCCCTTAGAAGATGCCGCCCTGATGGGGGGCCTGCCCTCGCCGGCCAGACATCTTCCATCTGATCCCCCGATTCTGCTCATTTCCCGCCTCCCCCCCCACACGCCTGGCTGGCCGATTGCTCGCCCCTTCCCATTCGCTCGCCACCTGTGACCTCCCTGGAGGTGGATTCCCTCGCCGGCCCCGGTGTCAGCCTCCGGGCGCGGCCCTGCTTGCCGTCCTCTGGCCAGCTGCCTGTCCACTTGGCCCTTGTGCCGGGCCCCTGCCGGGGTGTTGGTATTCCCTCGGGCCCCTCTCGCTGAGTCCGGCCAGGGCGGCGCCCGCC